TCCCTCCCTCCACACCCTCCCATAAGCCTTCCTTGTTCTCTTTCAATCCCATGGCCTCTTTCTTTCATTAATTGTTGATATATACATAAATACAACCTGCTCAGTCTGTTTAATGTCACTTATACTTATGTTTTCTGGGCTGACCATTTGTTATGGGATAACCAGTTGGTATGCTCTTCCCTGTGCAGTTTGAGCATTCCTTAGTTCTTTGTGTAGAGTTGAGGCCTTTGTGGACTTTAGTCTGTGTCTCAGTTGCCTCTTGCATAGCAGAAATTCTGAAATTTGCTCTGTTAGTGATTTCCCAATGTCTTGCATATTCTGATTTTTTTTTTTTAGTTGATATCCGAATGTACCAATTCCTCAGTGTCTTTAATCCCTGATATTAATTAAGCTGTCTGCCTAGGCCACTTCATTTGTGATGTTTAGTGAATGATTTTTCTTAATTTTTTAATTTTATTTTATGTGCATTGGTGTTTTGCCTGAATGTATAATCTGTGTGAGGGTCACATCTTGAGTTACAGCCAGTTGTGAACTGCCATGTGGGTGCTGGGAATTGAACCCGGGTCCTCTGGAAGAGCAGTCAATGCTCTTAACCCCTGAGCCATCTCTCCAGCTCATAGTGAATGATTTTTAAACATTTTTCTTTTTCACAGTTTCCTCCCACTTCCTACTCTGTAGTCTCTGCTAAATTTCTTGCCCAAGTTCTGGATTTCTTGGCCAGTTTTTTTTTTTTTTAATAGTTCTTTGAGAGTTTTGGATTTTGTATGTGCTTGATCATCTTTATCGCCCCTTTCCCCATCCACTGAAGTTCCTTTTCTTTTCTCTGCTCTTACTCTTTCTGCCTCCCTCAGCTCTCCTCTCTCTTAGAAACTCTTCATACTAATTTGTATTGCCCAAAGTGTTCTTGGATGTGTGGTCTCCCACTGGAGAATGCTCACCTTCCCAGGTCCTGCGGTCTTAGAGGATCTGACCCTTCCCCCCCAGCAGCTAACAGTAGCTTGTTTCACAGCTGGAGTGGGATTGTGTGCCCAGCTTTCCTCTCCATGTTGTTATTTGATTGGGCTTGGGCTTGTCCAGGTGTTGTGCGTGCTCTCACAGTGCTGAAGTTCCTATGTGCAGCTGCTCTGCTGTGTCCAGAGGAGCTTGCCTTGTGGTTCTTTCACCTCTGGCTCTGACACTATTTCTGGGCTCTCTCTACAGTCATTCCCAAGGGTGGCAGTGGTGAGGTATATATGTCTCCTTTAGGGATGAGCATTTTGTAGTCTCTTATTTTCTGCACCTTGGTGGCCAGCTGTGGGTCCTCTATGTCAGTCGCCGTCTACTGCAGATGAGAGTTGAGAGATGGAAAGGAGCACAGAAGGCAAGCAGGCAGGACGTGAGGGTGTTAAGCAGTTCACAGGGCTTATCTAAGTTTCGAATATGAGTAGTCATTAGGGCCATTGATCTTTTTTAAAACTAGAACTTTGAATTCTTTTCTATGTCAATCAATTTGGTATCTTTGTATGTCCTTGTTGAAGAGTTAGAAGTTCCCCTGAGCCATCTCCCTGGCCCAAGAATAGTTTTAGTATAGGGAAAGGGAATGCCAACACATTGATATTTAACTCTGTCAGAATTAGCCACCTGGACTCAGTTTAGATGTTGGCAACATCCAGAGCAGCATCATCACATAAGAGCCACCCAAACATAACGCCTTCTTCTCTCTGTCAGGCCTCACCAGGGTATTGACTATGGCCACATCAATGTCATAGAGTTTCTTGACAGCCTGTTTGATCTCATGCTTGTTGACCTTGACATCCGTAATGAGCACAAGTGTGTTCTTGTCTTCTATCTTCTTCATGGCAGGGTCAGGGGGAATTGGATAATGGTGTAGTGGTCAGGTTTGTTTCTCCTGGGCATGCTCTTTCAAGGGTATTTGGGCTGCCTTCAGAGCTGCAGGATCTTGGGCTCCCAGAAGGTGAGTGACATGTGGATCTTCTCTTTGTGGCTGAGGACACCTTTCAGCACTGCCTTCTTGGCTTTCAAGGCCTTCGCTTTGGCTGCAGCTTGGGGTGGGGCAGGAGCTTTCTTCAATTTTGGTGCCATGTTGGCAAAAAGGTTGACTTTGCTGTTTACTCCATCGTGCTGTGGTAATTATTAGAGCAGTAATAGGAAACAAGTCCCCGGGAGTATTTTATTTTATCACGTGTTTATTTTTTACTTATTTATGTATTTATTATGAGTGGGTGCACATAGTATGTGAGTTCATGTGTGATTGAACCGAGGCCAGAGGTCAGTCTTAGGAGTCATTCCTCAGGAGCCATCTACCCTGTTTCTTTGAATACAAGCTCTCCCTGGAACCTGGAGCCCATAGGCTCTGCTGGCTGCCAAGGAAGCCCAAGGAAGCATCTCTGCCGAGATGATGAGCGCACTCCACCACGCCCAGCTCTTTCCATGGACCCAGGGTCCAAGTTGGGAGCTTATGCTCGTGTAGCGAGCCCTGCCAGCTAGGCTAGCCCCAGCTCTTTCCATGGACCCAGGGGTCCAAGTTGGGAGCTTTTGCTTGTGTAGCGAGCCCTGCCAGCTAGGCTAGCCCAGCTCCTGGTCTGATGTTTATGACGTTGATTGACTTCTCCAGATAGACACATGTCTAAACTTCCTTCAGGTTTATGAAATTTTACTCATTATTGGGGACCTATGTAAAAGCTCCTACGACCACAAAGCCTCTTGTGTGTTTTTTCTTCTGTTCTCCCCACATACAGTTTTCTTTCTTTTACTGTGGTCTGTCTTTCACCTTTCTTTGATGTCCAATTATAATCTAGTTTTTAGAATACACTATCTTAATCTTATTTTCCTAAAATTTTATTCTCTTAAAAAATATATATATATATATATTTTTTTTTCTGGGCATGGTGGCTCACGCCTTTAATCCCAGCACTCAGGAGGCAGAGGCAGGTGGATCTCTGAGTCTGAGGCCTGCCTCAGTAAGTGATTGCTGTGCTGGCATGAAGACCTCCGTTCATATCCCCATCACCCCTGTGAAAAGCCAAGAATGACAGTGCAGTGCACATCTGTAATTCCAATGCTGTATAGACAGGGACAGGAGGACCCCTGGTGCTTTCCAGCCAAGCACACTGTAGTGCTCAAAACTAAGGTAGAGAGCCACTGAGGAAGCCCCATATTGATGACCACTGGCTTCGGCAAATGCTCACAGATGTATTCTCACACACACACACACACACACACACACACACACACACACACACACACACACAAAGAAGGGGTTTGGTTTGTTCTTTAAGACAGGGTTTCTCTGTGTAGCCCTGGCTATCAAGGAACTCATTCTGTAGACCAGATTGGCCTCAAACTCAGAGCTCAGCCTCCTTTGAGGATTAAAGGCATATGCCACCACTGCCCAGCACACAGAAGTTGGTTTTTGTTTTTTTTTTTCTCTTTGAGACAGGGTTTCTCTGTGTAGTTTTGGTGCCTGTCCTGGATCTCAGCTCTGTAGACCAGGCTGGCCTCGAACTCACAGAGATCCACCTGGCTCTGCCTCCCAAGTACTGGGATTAAAGGTGCATGCCACCACCGCCCGGTGCACACGGAAGTTTTTAGAAGCTCTATTTTATAATTACATAAACATCTGTATGTGTTTTAAATTTGAGTTATATATAACAATTTTGTACATTGTATTATACATATAGGTTCAAAAAATTTTTAGCTCTTACCTCTCAGTTTTGATTCTTAAAAAACAAATGACTTAGCTGGGTGTGGTGACACACACCCTTGATCCCAACACTCAGGAGGCAGAGGTAGGCAGATCTTTGTGAGTTTGAAGCCAACATGGTTTACAAAGTGTCCAGTCCAGGACAGCCAAGACTGTCACACTGTGAAACCCTGTCTCAAACAACAACAAAAATAAAAAACAAACAGACAAAAAAAACCACAAGTGACTTGTTGGGCATTGCTGGCCTATACCTTTAATCCCAACACTCAGGAGGCAGGGGCAGGTGGATTTCTGAGTTTGAGGCCAGCCTGGTCTACAGAGCGAGTTCCAGGACTGCCAGGGCTACACAGAGAAACCCTGCCTCGAAACAACAGGAAAAGAAAGGCAGGGAGGATTTAAAGAAGCACATAACTATTTTACTTAAGCTATACTTTTCGGTTGAATGTGTGTCCATTTATATACCTCTCTGTATGGCATATGTAGGTCATGTGATGTGTTTGAAGTAATCTGAATGTACTTGTTGGATTAGTTCTTATGTTTATGCAGCAAACTATAATAACTACCTACACCAGTTAATGTTTAACCACATAGTCAAGAATTATCTTGTTTGTTTGTTTATGAAGGATGGTGCTACAGAAAGGCCATACATCTTGGAGATTGGCCCAAGTGTTTTTGTTTTGTTTTATCTGAGAAAGGATACAACTTCTGCGTAACCCTGGATGACCTGGAACTTGATATATGTAGATCATATATCAAACTTGGAGTGATCCTCCTGCTTCCTGTCCTAAGTGCTGTGATTATTACAGGCATGTGCCACCAAACCTGGTCCAAGTAAATTTTTATACTATTTAATTCTTCTTCAACTTTGAATTTTAACATGGAGAATTGTTTTTCCCACAATAAAAAGAAACAATTTTTAGCAAAAAATTATATGCCTTATACATTGTATATTTTGTTTTTTGTTGTTGGTTTGTGTTTGTTTTATTAAAGACAGGTTCTTACTGTGTAGCCCTAGCTGGTTTGGAATTGGCCGTGTAGACTGTAGTCTAGGCTGCTGGCCTTTATCACACAGTGTGTGTGTGTGTGTGTGTGTGTGTGTGTGTGTGTGTGTGTGTGTGTGTGTGTGTGTATGTACACGTGTATGCAAGTGTGTAGACCAGGTGTGACTGTAGTCCAGGCTGGCCTCATCCTTGAGATCCTTTTGCCTCAGTCTGAGTACTGGGATTGCAGGTGTATGTTGTCATGCCTTGCTTACATCAGTTTTTACATATTTATCAAATGTATTGTTGTCTTGTAGAATGGAGATGTATGCATTTCAATTCTTCATCCGCCTGTAGATGACCCACAGAGTGGAGAACTGCCCTCTGAAAGGTGGAATCCTACTCAGAATGTGAGGTAAGGAGTTCTATAAGAAACGAAACTTACCGTGTTTGTTTTCTTCTGCTTCTTCTCATCCATTCCTTTGTTTGTTTGTTTATTTATTGGTTTTTTGAGACAGGGTTACTTTGTGTACCCCTGTCTCTGGAACTCACTCTGTAGACCAGGCTGGCCTTGAGCTCACAGATCCGCCCGCCTCTGTCTCCTGAGTGCTGGGATTAAAGGTGTGCGCCACCACCGCCCAGCTATTTTGGAGACGTTCTTACTAAGTTGCCAAAGTTGGCCTCAAACTCCTGGGCTGAAGTAAATCTTTTACCTCAACCCCCCAAATACACAGGACTACAGACACTTGCTACTTGAGTCCTGTTTTGGGTGGGTGGGGTCTCGTTCTGTTTGAAGCTGTGGGAAGAATCTTTCCTGTGTTTGACAGTTTCTCTCTGGGTTAGAGCATGAGGATGTGTTATGTAAGGCTTTTCTTCAAAGGGGCCTCTTGGCAATTGAAGGGTCAAGAAATGCTGGAAAAATCAGCAGTTTATTGGGGTGGGGGAGGGTGAGAGGCCACATCTGAGCTGGGATGAGAGCGGGAGCTGTGGTGGCACAGGGTGGGGAAGGTGTGGAGCGTTCGTTCTCAAAGGGAACTAGGGACGAGACAGTGGCGACAGTGGGTCGCTCACAGTGGTCTTTAGTGACGAGGATTGAAGGCGGCAGGTGCGAGTTGGGGAGCACCTGGTTCTGGAATGTGGGCGATCTTGGTTGACTAACACGTGTGCCTGCATCACTTTGAAGTGATTCCCATTTCCCATTTCCCTCCATCAGGTTCTTCTTATATTAAATTTTATTCTTCCTTAGACCCCATAACTCCTGTGTTTAAACTTTATTTTTATTTTTTTAACACGTATGTATTGATTTGGCCTTTATCACAGAAGTGTGTGTGTTTGTGTGTGTCTGTGTGTGTCTGTGTGTGATAGCTTGAGTGTTGAGGTCAGAGGTCAGAACTTGTAGAAGTCACTTTTCTCTTTCCATCACGTGGATTCCAAGAACTCAGCTCTGTTGTCAGGCTTGACAGCAACCTCCTCACCTGCAGTTACCACCTTGCAGACCTCACCTGGCTGTTTCTGAGGTACCTAGGCATGCCCGACTAGTTATAGTTTTGATGAAGTAAGAAATATACTTTTGGCCATTGTGGTGGCGCACACCTTTTAACCCCAGCACTCAGGAGGCAGAGGCAGGTGGATCTCTGTGAGTTTGAGACCAACTTGGTCTACATAGTAAGACCTCCTGGCAGAAAAAAAATAAGAAAGAAAAGGTAGAGACTGGTTGCTGCTGTGAGACAGTGTCTATGTAACCCGGGCTGGCCTTGAACTTCTGTGATAGTCCTGCCTTAGGTATCTGTAATGATATGGAGGGTGGGAGGCCTTGGCGGGTTTAGACCAAGGTGCCCAGTGGCGGGCGGTGGGTGAGACCCGCCATGCGGAGCTGCGGACTGTGGAAAGTTACTCACATGGCAGAGGTGGTGTCCAAGTTTATTTTGTGGGGAGGGAATGGAGGGAATGAGAGAAGAGAGAGAGAGAGAGAGAGAGAGAGAGAGAGAGAGAGAGAGAGAGAGAGAGAGAGAGGAGAGAGAAAGAGGTGCATAGTGCTACCTCTAGCAAGAGGAGGGGAGAGATGGCGGCAGGATGCTGGGCGGGTCCCCAAGGGGAAGGGGTGGGTCCCCAAGGGGCAGTTCAAAATACTAACAGTATTAGCCATCATATGTGATAAGACATATACTTAACTATGGTACACCAAAACTTTGTTTTTAATACTCAAGGTATTAGGTTTTATTAGTCATTAATACTGTAACCATTAGAGGGACCTTTAATGTCTCTGGTTCTCTCATCTAAAGGCCTAGGGTAACACCTTGCTTAGTGGATAGAAGCCATGAGTAGATGGACTAGGAAAAGCTGCTGGAATGGCGCTTGTTACCTAGCTGACTGTGGTCACTACTAATAAGCTTCTGGGGTGAGTGAGGGGTGGGGTCAAATGATCATTTGCTATATATTAGAAAAGAAATACTCTTCTTAATTCCTCAGATACCTTTCATTTGCCTATAGGGAGAAATAGCTGCTAGCTGCCTGTATATATCACAGCCCACTATACATAATGTCAAATTTAATTTGAATACTAAACACATAAAAATAAGAATTATTTTAAACACTTTATTAAAATGCATCCTACTTGTTTTGAGAAGAACCTATAGCAAATGCTGCATATAGGAGCCTATAGCAAATGCTGCATATAGGAGCTATCTTTAGTTTTTTAGTTTTTGTTTGTTTGTTTTGTTTTTTGTTACTGGTTTTTTCGAGACAGGGTTTCTCTGTATAGCTTTGGTGCTGTCCTGGATCTCGCTCTGTAGATCAGGCTGACCTCGAACTCAGTTTTTTGTTTTTTGAGACAGGGTTTCTCTTTGTAACAGTCCTTGGCTGTCCTGTAACTCACTCTGTAGACCAGGCTGACCTCAAACTCACAGAAATCCACCTGCCTCTGCCTCCTGAGTTCTGGGATTAAAGGTGTGCACTACCACACCCTGGCTTATAGGAGCTGTCTTAACAGACAGTTAAAGTACTGAAAGTTAGGAGGTTTTTTTTGTTTTTTTCCCCCACTTTAAGTTCATTGAAGTGTTTAGGAGGCTACTTGAGAGAGATTGCCATGCTCCGCTTTCCAAAGTAATTTGATAATATAATTAAATAGACAATGTATTTTGCTTTCTATAATTTTGGTTACCCATAGTCAGTTGTGGTCTGAAAGTATTAAATGAGAAATTCTAGGAACGATCTCTAAGTTTGAGGTTGTACCTCTCTCCCTTGTGTCCTGACTGTGTATTACACACCCATTAGTCACCTAGTGGCTGTCTCTCTACCAGTGCAGGGTATCACTTACTATGTGTAGGAATGCACTGTTGTGTTTCAAGGGAACTTTATTTTTCTTGGCCCCTAACAGAAGTGTAGTTGTAGGAGGTACAGTTTAAAGGAAGCACTGGAGCAACCAAGCTTGTCAAGCATGCAGACCCAGTTACCCGAATGCTGAGTGACATGGTCACACACCCTGGTGATCCTTTGCTATTAGCAGCCAGCTCAACCGGAATTTCTCCCAACTCATGAGAACTGTTTAGGACTTAATCCTAGGCATTGTCTCTCAGTGCCTGGAACTTACCCTTATGAAAGAGGCCTCATCAACTTTGCATTCTCCATCAGTAGCACCCATCCACACGCTTACTACCAATCCTTCCTCTCTAGGCCCCAGCATTGCTTCCCAGACAGTGGACCTCAGTTTATAACGAACTCTCAGGTGCTCTGCTGTAGAGGGTATTCTGCAGAGGCTTCCTTCCATGCAGCCATCCCTGAAGCTTTGGTATGAGAACTGTCAAGTGGAGACTTCCCTAAAGTTGGACTGTGTTTAAATGTGGAAGACAATTAAACCAGGGATCTACTCTCCAGAAGTTTTGGTCCAGTCTTACTGACCAAGTTCAGCTGTAACTGAGTTTTCCTGTCAGCTGTGATACCTGTAGGGACCCCACAGCTGTAGACCAGGCCTATACTGTAGGCCTTGAATCACACATATCTACCTGCCTCTGCCCCGAAGTGCTGGGATTAAAGTCCTGTGCCACAAGCCCAGGATTTTTGTTGTTGTTAAGAGAGTCTCAGAACTTGCTATTAGCTGAGGATCCCTTTGAACTTGGAACCTTTTGCCTCAGGCTCCTGAGTACTGGGATTACAGGAATGAGTGCCATCCCTGGTTCTGTTGTTGATTTCTGATACCTAGTTTCTAGGGTGCACAGCATACTCTGTAGTTCTAGTATCCCCGAAGGTCTTGAAAACTACTCCCAAGGATAAGAGGGGCTACTTATGTAAAAGTTTTTTAGAAAATTTATTGAGATTTGGACACAAATACACACACACACACACATACACACACACACACACACACACACACACACACACACACACACACACACACATACACACACACACACACACACACACACACACACACACACACACACACACCCCATCCTGGTTGTCCCTTGAAGTATGAGTCTGGTTTTTATTTCTCAGGGCTAGGGGACACCTGGGCCTGAGGACACAGTCTCTAAGGGACTGCTGCTACTTCTCTTTAGAGGCTGAGTGTGGAATCAATGTTTCTGTTTCTCTATTCAGAAAATAAGCCTCTTCCCTGATAGACAGCCTGGAACAAGATTGTTAATTATATTCTTTCCTGGATGGTGTATTCATTCAAGATGTTTTTCCTTGGGGTGCTGGTGATGGCGCACACCACAGCTCTCAGGAAGTAGAGACTGGTAGATCTCTGTGAGTTCAAGGCCAGCCCAGTCTACATAATGAGTTATAGGACTACGTTGTAAGCTCCTTTCTCGGGAGAGCGGAGGGAAAGAAGAGCTCTTTCTCCTCAGCCAGAAATGCCTTCTCCTGCTTTATGCAGGTCTGTCGGGGTGGTGGTCTGTGAGTTGTACCTTAAGGTACTTGTATGCAAGCTCAGTGTATGGCATTTGCTTTGGAACTGGCCACCTCGCATCTCTGTGCTCCATGTAGCTGTTGGTGTCACTCCAGCATAAGCTCTTCTCGGTTTGTGAGATCTCTAGGGTCGCTCGGGAAGACTTTCGTACCGTGTTGCTTGACGTGCCCTGGTTGTCTTTGAGATTAAAGTTAGGAACGAGCCGCCTCAGGATTTATAGCAATAGGGAATGGTTTTACTTGTTCTTTTTTTTTTTTTTTTTTTTTTTTGGTTTTTCGAGACAGGGTTTCTCTGTGTAGCTTTGCGCCTTTCCTGGGACTCGCTTGGTAGCCCAGGCTGGCCTCGAACTCACAGAGATCCGCCTGGCTCTGCCTCGCGAGTGCTGGGATTAAAGGCGTGTGCCACCACCGCCCGGCCTTTACTTGTTCTTTTTGTTTCTGTTACTTGAAGAGAAAGTTTTTTGTCTTTTTAAACAATGTTTTTTTTTTTTTTTTTTTTTTTGGTTTTTT